GGTTTAGGTGTGCCTTGCTTAGGAGCAGTAGAAAAGGATGGGGGTAGGTTATTTTCTATTTCAAGTTGTATTGCTGAAGGAGGAAGAATGACCCAGGGCCTCTAGAGTTTTGATGTGCAGTTATTTCAACACAAGAGCTTGCTTCTTCCTTTCCAGGAACTGCTTCAAACTTGTTATTTACTTTGGCTTTTTGTGAGCTTGCTGTCTCCTGGAGCTGTAAAGTCTGATGCTGGAGCTACTTTAACTTCCCTGCTGCTGCAAAGCCTGATGTGCAAGCCAAAGGAGTCTCGTCTGCTACAGGCTGGTGTAGTCACGTCACACCACAAGTGGGGATGAGCAGCTCCTCCAGCCCTTGGGGAGCACAAGGTGGGTTTTCTAAGCGTCTCTGTGTGGCTGTTGGTTGTTCTCTGGCTGTTGGAAGGTGATACCTGCATTAACCTGAACCCTTCACTCTTAGGTTTTCTGTCACCCCCAAGGCCTGTAGGGCTGATGTACCATAGTGTTAAGCTGAAACAAGTGAGAGGTGGAGGTTTTTGTAGAGGGTAAGAAACTTTTGGGGAGGAAGGGGGGTGTGTGTGTGCTCCAGCTGCCTGTGTGGGAACCTCACAAGGCTCTGGGCTGCAGTCCCTCCTCTCAGTGTTTTGGAGGAGCATGGATCAGGGGGCTCTGGATTTGTTGGTAAAGCTCCTGGGATAGGAGCACAAAGGTATGGATGTGATTTGGGCTTCTAGATCTTGTCCAGCGATAAAATGGGTCTACAGCAGTGAATCCTTTGTGTGTCTGTAGGCTCGGTAATGTATCAGGAACACTTCCAAATCCAAGGGGAGCTTCAGCTGAGCAGACGCCTTTTGGGCGCTGTTGCAAAACTAACACAGAGCTGGAGCTCTCAGCTTTCCCTAGGTGGCCTGTGTGGCTGCTTTGGTTAATGCTGGGGAAACTGAGGCTCAAAGCAGAGAGTGATGACTTGCTTGAAGCTACAGGAGGGTTGCATATGGAGGACAGGTCTCCCCAGACCCAGCCTTGCTGTTCCTAACTCTCCCCACCTAACTGCAGGCTCTGCTGAGGGTGCTTTAGATGTTTACAGCCCCCAACCCTCCACTTCCACATCACCTCTGAATTCACTGCAGCGAGTTTCAGTCTCCCAACACTTGTGTGAAGTGGCTAAATATATCCAGCCAGCGGAGCTCATGCCAAAAGCGAGTCACTAAATGCATTAAACTTCGTGTAATAAAACAAGGAACAGCCCCAATAAATCCTGGCGCTGCGCTTTCAAGACTGCTATAGCTTGCCCTGTTAACTTCGCCGCTCTACCAAGGGGTGCTGCGTGTGTGGAGCTGGAGCTGTGCAGCTCATGTGGCGGTAAGGGCTGCCATCCAGCGGCAGCAAGGCAGAAGACACTCTATGGGATCCCTCGCATCCCCCCGACAGCACCCCTGCGTGGTCTCTAGCATCCTAACCCCCCTCGGGAGTGGGTTGTCCTAATAGAATAACGCAGTGACTTTGTCCCTGCAGAGCTCGCTTGGGATGCGGTCACCCGGGAGGGCAAGGGCTTTAATGCTTCCCATGCTTAAGTGTGGCTAAAATGAGTTGCAAAGTGTGATTTGTCTCATTTCCAGCCTCTCGTTGCTTGTCCACATCCCTGCAGCAGGGAGAATGTGTCTTGTGCAGCAGTGAGTTTGTTCCAGTCCCAAGTTTCCACCACAGGAATGTCATCTTGGCCTCATTGGACATGTTGTGTATTCTAGCAGCCGAGTAGAGAGGCTAAACCTTCCTCACTGACATTGTCTGTGTGATTTAGGGCAGGTGATGGAGGTTCCCCAGGCTGCAGTGAGAAGCTGTAGGCACACACTGACCAGAGAGTTTAGGAACCTCCTCGGCTTCCCCTGTCCGTGCTGGTGCAGGGGCTCTGCTCACATTCCTTGTGCTGTGGTTTCTCCCTGCTTGTGTGGGGAACAGGAACTGGGCCAGCACCATAACAGCTCAAGGCAAGGGTGAACTGGAGGGGGCAAAATAAAAGGGAAGGGGAAATAAAGGCTCTTCCCAGCTGAATATGCGTAAGTCTAACCACATCAGTTTGCTGCCTGGGGAGAGGAAAGAGGATGTGACACCTCAGCTGCTCTCACTTGTCAGGGCTTTGCATGCTGCTGACTTGTTTATGGGTGAGTAGCTGAGTTTACAAGGAAGTGTGTACATGCAGAAGTTATCCAGGCAGTTGTTGCTGGGAGCTAGTTAGCAGTGGTCCGCCACATTCCAACAATGCAAGTCAGTAGGAGGAGTGGGGTTTAGGGGTCTCTTTTAGCCAGTTACTACCAAAGGCGGTGTGGGGGCAGCTAACTAGCACATGTCAGCTTACTAAAAGCAGTGACTTTAATTCATGGCCTTTTCTCCAGCAGCCAGCAGGATGTCTTATTCATTTGCCAGCAGGAGGGCAAATCCATTTCAAAATGATTGAAATATTATGCACAGCTTGAACGAATGTTTAAAATAAATACAGTAGAAGAAACATGTTGTTTGTGAAATGAGAAGATAAATTAAGTTTAGTGCAGACATGTTATTCCCAAGCCTAGCTGCTTGGCTGACACTTCCACAGCCTTAATCTAGCAGTAAGTACATGGTCTGACTTCTTCTCCTGAAGAAGAGACCAGACTTTCTCTTCAGTCCTTTGCTATGTATTGGGTAGGCTGTTGGGCGTCCATATTCCATGTGGAAAGGGCTAATTGCTGCTGTGACAGTATGGACAGGCTGGATGGAGAGACAGGGAGAAGAGAACCCTAAGGCTTGAGATGTAGAAAAGGGCTTCATTTGCCAGTATCAGGTCTGTGGTTCCCTCCAGCCACTTCTGCTCAGCAAGATTAAGTTTATTTTCATCCTCTCAACTGAACTTTCTTTTAATGGCAGCAGGGGTGACAGCCCCAAAATAGATTTCCTATGGAGTCTGTCCTGAGTGGCACCGTGTGCTGCATGTCTCCCGATAACTTTCTCCCTGCTGTGGGCCTTTATCTCTGTGGTGACAAACAACCCTCTCTGGACAGAAAGAGGAAATTCCACTCATTGTTCTCCTGCTGCTGGGCTCTGGCTACAGAGCTCTATCTCCTGCCCAGTGCAGGGCTGGCAGGCGTTTCCTGGAGTGACAGTCGGTAGGAGGCTGACTGGAGGGATGAGGGCTTTGTTTCGAGATTCCCAGTTAGGTGCCAGTATGATCTTCCCAGCCATGGCCCTGTCAGCTTTGGGTCTGTCCCCCACATATCTTCTCTGTTCATGCAATAGCCAGTTCACCCTCTGTAATGCCAAAACATATGTACTAATACAGTCACCCTTCCCCTATGATAGGCAGCACAACAGCATTTGAGGCAGGTGCCACTGTCCCGATAGAGTGAGCAGCAGGTACTCATCTTTACAGTGAGATCAAGCATACTCGAGTTGTGGTAGCACTTAGGACTTCTAGCCATGCACTTGTGCTGTAGTGACACAGGACAAACAGTTAAAAAGCTGTGTCATGAAGAACTTGGAGGTTTGGGATTTTGAGGTGGCTTTCCAAAATCAGTGCCTGACAGTGTGTTGTTTAGGGACACTTTGAACTCTGGAGGTGTACACCAGTTCTCAGACAGGCACTGGAGTAGGATTTGTTTCTTTTCTCCACCTAATATGAATATTTTAAACCAGCTTTACTTAAGGAAAATGGGAATCTTTTCATTCTCCTCACTGCATACCTGGGTTTGACCTTTTAAGTGGATTTCCCATTGACTTATTTTTCTGTACAGTGCAGATTACCTTTCTGCTTCTACTAAGGGCGTCTTGGTGTATCTTTTCTCCTGGGGGTAAGAGGTAACTTGAAATCCTTGAGTCCTGACAGTACTGCTTTCTAGGGAAATCACTCACAGGGTAACTGTACAGGAAGCTTAGAAAGGAAATGTAGAGCAGCTCTGGAAGGACTGAGAAGCATAGCAGCCTTTTGGTTCAGACAAGCCTGCGCCTCTTGAGACTTCATTTCACTTCACTACTCCCTCCTAGACTTCTACAGATGGCCACTCACCCCTGCTTTGGTGTGCCACTCGGAGTGGAGGATGGCACAACTGCCCTTCCAAGATACACTGATGGTTGGAGGGGCCCCGATGCTCTGGTAGTTGGGACTGCAGAAGTATTTGTCCAGTTGACAGCGTTAGTTTGCAAGGTCGCAAAAGCAGTACACTTAAAACATGGGTCAGGATCTGTGAATTACCTTGAAGGTGTCAGCTGGTGGTTCAAGCATTCTATAGTTCCAGCCATAGTGCAGTCATTTCTAATAACTCTGATGTGTGATGAGAACAGAGCTCTGTGCTGACCTTTTCATCTAGAAGTGAAGGGTGTTAATAGTGACACATGGAAGAGAGAAAAGACTGAGACTGTTGAGAATGGGCTTTTAAAGTGCTTTAGTGACATAACTGTTCATAACATTGTTCTCTGTACAGTGTAAGTACTTTCTGTCCCATGTTACAGATGCCAAATCTGAGATATGTACTAAAGTGATTTGTTCTGAACCAACAAAAGTTGATAATACACTGGGACTGAGACCTGAAGGCTCTTGGTTCCCAGAGTTTGATTTCCATACTCACATTATGTTCATCAGCAAAATAACTTAGTCCTGTCATCATTTGACCTGTTAATTCTCCCCTTCTTATAAAACTGCTCAGTCCAGCAGCTTTTAAAAAGGCACTTCCATTTTACCAGTGTTGAAAGCAGATGAGCTGTGTTACATCATTGGGAAGGGGTCCCCCAAAACCCCTTCCTTTGGTCTGCCACTTGGACTCTCAGCAGAACTAGTTGGAGGGGGCAGAAAAGGCTGTGAGGAAGTGGAAGCTCACCAGGAAGTTACTGAAGCTTCTTGCATTTGAAACTTTGATGTCAACAATCATACCCCAAAATGTTCACCACTTAGCTGCCACTGAGTAGGACTTGTTTCCTGTAGGGATGCACATCTTGCTGTGGTGAGATGGATGGTTTGGAGCTAAATGTGAAGGCTCCATTGCTGTGTTTTTGTTTTAACAAGACCTTTGTGGTTCAAAGGACAAGATAATCTCTGCTTGCAATGTGGATACATCTAGAGCTGGGAATTTCCTCTCTCCTTCCAGTGGATGCTTTCCTGCCGGACGTGAAGCAGCATGTTCTTCACCTCCCCTTCTTTCTGCCTTCAGATGTTTCCCAATTTCACAGTTATCCAGCTCCTGGGGAAGTGAAGGAAGAGTATCTGAAGTGACACAGGAATAAGCTGCAAAATTCCTCTTCTCCCATAGCAGGTCTCTGCTTCTCCTTGTTTCTTCACTTTCAATTTCCATTTTGCTATTTTTCCCTAAAGGAATCTAGGGCTTTCACAGGAGAAAAGTCATAGTTTAGAGTTTCAGATGCAGCAGAATGGCCCAAGCTTCATCTTTCCTAGCTTCCCCAGCATGTACCATCCCATAATGCTTCATTTTGGTAGATGTACCAGCCTTCAAAAAAAGAAGGGATTGTTTCGAAGTGTTCAAAAGTGCTCAAGTATTCCAGAGCCAGAGAGTCTGCCTTCATAGAGTACTTTGGCAACCAGAAATATACATCTGCTGAGGTTTTGGCTCCTAAGTCTCATAGGTTGCTATAGCTTTGCCTTCTGTCTCCCCTTTTCATATTCCTATTCCAACAGCTATGTCCTAAAGTTTCTTTCCATCTTTTCAGGCTTTTTAACAGACTTGCCTGCCTCTGGGAACTTAAGTGAGGTAAGCATTCCAACATAGCAGCTTCATAAAATGTCCCATTGGTATAAAAATAGAAATTCTATGAAATAGATAGCGTTCTGGTGATCACTGGTATTCTGTTACCCTTCGATTTGAAGCTTTTGAGAAGAAAAATGCTGTTTTAGAGTAAAACCAAGTCTGTGTTCTTTTCTGTTTTACTAAGTTATTAATCCTCTCAAGATCAAATTCATTATGAACAAAGATACTGTCCCATGAGTATCTGGAGCTACATTTTAGTGTCACTTGTTTCACTAACTTCCGACAAGACAAACCCAGGATTGTCATAACCTTTCTTCTCTTTGGCTTTAGCTTCTTTCTCATTGTAGAGACAGAAGGCGCAGTGGGGAGTCTCCACAGCCACTGTCTTGCTGAAATTCTGGAAGTCTACTCTGTATTTCCCTTCTTTGGTCTTGGACACAATGGGAGCAAAGCGGTAGCCCCAGAGCACCTCCTCTGGGATGTAGGATGTCCTCACTTGACAGGTAGCACTCGTAGCTTCAACAGTGCCATCTAAAAACACCACCAATTCAAAATCTTGCTGTAGAAGGGTTTCTGCTGCCATATGGAAGAATGGGCTGTTTTTATCTATGATATGATAAATAGTTAATGGGGAAATGAAGAAGAGATTCTCATTGCCAGCATCAACTACAAATTCTATGTTGACCTGGTCCAGAATGATTGTTTCTCCTTCTGGGGTGATGGTGGTCTTGAGAAGCTTTCCATAGATGTGACTGCCAATCAGCAGGCTCTTCCTGAGGTTTGCCACCCGAATAAGGAGGCAGAGCTTCCCACCACGTTTGCTGATGACAGCATTCTTGCTGAAGGTGATGGTCTTAGCCCGGTTTTTAGACCTTGATATCTTGGCCAGGATGGCACCACACATAAAAGAATTGATGATCACCCCCAGGATAGACTGGAAGATGAGCAGGAAAATGGCAGTTGCACACTGCTCTGTGACACATCTGAAGCCATAACCGATGGTTACCTGGGTCTCCAAGGAGAACAGGAAAGCTGAAGTGAGGCCGTTGATATTGTCAACACAGGGGGTGTGATTTATGGAAGGGTTGAATTCTGGCAGATCTTTGTGTATGTATGCCACGACATACCAGAGGAGACCAAACAGAAACCAGCTGCCTAAGAATGCTGAAATGAAGATAGTCATTTTGTATCTCCACCTGAGATCCAGGATAGTTGTCCATATATCAATCAAAAAGACAAACCTTGACTGTTCTACATTGCCAAACTCTATGTTACACCTTCCATCTTTAGAGACAAGCCTCGCTCTTCGCCGGCTCCGTTCTCTGATGTGGCTGGCAAAGCGTTTCCGGAGGTAGCTGAACATTCCCTCTGCTGGTAGTGTTCTGGAAAGTAAGAAACAACAAAGGTTATGGGTAATGCAGCTTTCACTTATACCTGCAGGCAAGAAGCAAGGTCTGATGATGTCCCAAGACACTTGTTTAGGAAAAAGCATTTGCATGTTTTCCCTCAGCTGGTGGGAAAAAGTTCCAGTAAGTAGATGAGGAAAATACCAGTTTCTTGCCTAAGGAGCATTCCAGCAAAAAGTTATCGTTTTCCCTTGCTCAGTCAACTGTTAATATTGTCCTCTGCTTAGCTGAGTTAGGAGGAGGCACAGAGAAGCAGGTAACTGTCATGCACATACATTGGGAAAACTGGTGGGGAGCAGCTGGATATTGTGGAGGTCTTGCTGCCTTTTGGAAGATAATGTGAAGACTAAAGGATCGGGTTCAGAAATCCAGCCTTAAAGGAAAGGGTAGCTCTGTGTCATTTTGTCCTTTATGCTTGGCCATGTTAATGAGGGACCCAGAGAATAAGAAATAGTGATGGACAAAATACTACAGATGTGTTCAGACTTGAATTTGGATCAACCTCCACTGGGAAAATTCCCAGTCTTAGAGTGACTCAGGCATGCAGGCCTTGGGAGAGGCTGATCCACTGGCAGGTTAGAGGTGGCCTGCTATGCTCATCTAGGGCTCAATCTGGACATCAGATTTCTGCTTAAAAACAACCGAAATGAACAACTTGAATGGAAAATAGTCTCACTGCTGTCTCACTGGGTTTACTGTGTCTAAGGGTACAGTGTCCTCAGACACGCAGAGACCTGACCATTTTGGGGACCTGTGTCTGCTATGGATGATGTTTTCTTCAGAAGGACCTGGACTTGAGGAGTGCATCTCAGATAGGAGGTGCTGGGGGCTTTGTAATTGTTTGCTACTGTCACCTTACAGCTGCATTACCCTTCCCAATAGAAGGTGACACAGCCTTTTATTGGGAAATAACTCTTAGGAATGATGTTTTCAGTCAAGCTACAGCTCTTACCTAAAACCCTACATTATATCATTGTCCCATCCAGGCTTCCTTTTTGGCTAGGAGCAAAGTGCTTAGGCTCAAATAGTTGTCAAATGCACTGCCCTAATTTTACTTGATTTCAGGGGCAGTAATGTGCTGGAGTATCTGTGGCGAGAGTAGCTTAGCTCCCTTAAGCCCTAACTTTATATCTCCAGAATGGGGATAACCCACAGGCATGTAGTGGATTAGACATACTGGTGTGAGTTATGTAGTGTGAAATCTGTCTCATTTAACTTGAGCCACTTCAATGTTAGATAACTGCCTGTGCCAGTTGTACAGCTGACTCCTGGAAGCATTTGCACTCTCTGAGGGTCCACTGCCCTTCATAAAGCAACCATAGGGATGAGAGCTGCTGCTTGGCAAAGTCATTTTACTCTGTAGCCATCTAAATTAACTCAGAGAAGCTGCCTGATATTGTAGCCAACTAAACTAGAAATCCTTCCATTAGACATCATTAACAGCAGCCAGAGAATACCTTTAGATATGACAATTGGTAGCAAAGGGAGCATATTAAATTATCAGTGATGAAGTCTAAGTACAAATTAATTACATTTGGTAAAGCCAGAAGTAAGTTCTTTATTTGATGTCCTTGTTTGTGCAGCAGCCTTGAGAATGACTTTGTCTCATGCAGTTGCTGCTTTTCTGTACTTGGCCTGAAATCACAGTTCTTTGCTCATTAAAATGAGGATGAAAAAAATGAAGGTCACTCTTGTTGTAATGTAGCTGTTCACTGTTCTAAGCTTTTGCTGTTGCATTTACTGGCCACGAATGCAGCTGGCAAAGGTTAAACTTTAAGCGCATATCCCAGGAAGGGGGCAAAGAGGTCACTCTCTAAACAATCCTCAAGTTTTATTTTCCTGACGTGCTTTTAATATGTTCAAGTTAATGCATAGTTTGAGCACAGGTTAAATATTCTCATGCAACACACTACGCAGGGAAGTTTTCCACTGTTTAACTTCTACCAGTCCTGTTGTGCAAAGCCACATGGCTCCACAGCTGTCACAGGCATTTTGTCCTTTCCTGCAACAACATGAACAGAGTCACGACCAGAATCCTGTGTGAAATGCTGGGATGCCTCACCCCGTCCATCATACCCTGCATGTGCATACCAACGATTGGGAGGTACAATTCAAAGATGATAATGACAGAAGAGAGCATGCTGGTCAGCATAGTTATCAGACTGGAACCTGGGAAACAGAGCTCCAACTTTACCCTTCTTTTCCTGCTTCCTTAAATCTTAACTGCACACTTCAGAGGCTGTTTTACAAGCCTGGCTTAAGCTACCCCCAAATAGATCAAAGAAGCAGAATTACACTCTTCTTCAAGCAGGATGACAAAGGAATCCTCCCTTCAACCAATCTTTCTGGCTCCCACACGCGACTGAAGTGTGCTGATGTGCTTCAGCAGGAGGAAAATTCTCTTCTGTCTAAGCATGCTACGAGTAGGTCAGAGACTGCCCAGAGATTATATAAAGCGAGTTGTATAATATAGCACTTAAAGTCCTTTCAGTTTCAATCAGTGAAGGTAACCCAGATACATCTTAGCTAATATTTACCAGGGTATGTTTCCTTTCGGGCCCAAATAAGCATGGTATTTATGTCTGTCTTGCATGTGAAATTCTTTGTTGCAGGAGTTGAAGCTGCACCGCTCATTCTTAAATAAATGTGGCATTTGTCAATAAAGCTACTCAGTGAGTAAAGGTGACACATCAAGGTTAGCTTGGAAAACAATGAGTTTCTGTTTCCCTGTCCCAGCCTCGTAACTCATAGTGATCACTGGAGTAAGCAGAAGCTTCTAGACTGCTGTTCTCAAGCTCCTGATCTTTCTGAACTGACCTACCAGTATATTTAATAGATGCCCATAAAGTCACTCGTTGGAGGTGCATTTCTACCATTCCCTTTCTCTGTGTTCCTGCAAGTAGGTAATGACAGTCACAACTGTTCCGATGGTTATATAGCAGCTGGAGTTCCTCTACTATCTCAAAGATGTAACTGAGTGGTTCTCTCTGCTTTTACTCGCTTTTAGTTGTTTTGGGTTGAAACACTGGGGAGAATGACAAGGCTCTTGAATGGCTGGACTCCATCTTAAAGGTCCTTTCCAACCTAAATGGTTCTATGGTTCTTTAACTGTTCTTTGGCTAAATCCTTTGTGCAGCACTGTGTGCAGAGCACGTTAATCCAGGGAAATAGCTTTAATCTCAGCCACGTGCAGCACTTAAGGAGATCAGTGACTGCAGGAAAGGGAAGGTATTTAATGTCTGGCAGGAGCCTGCCCAGAACAGAGTTCTCCTGCTATTTCTCTGAAGTTCTCATATCCATGGCTTCACACACATTTCTTCCCTTGCAGAATGGATGAAGGAGCAAAGTTGGCAGAACTAAGATGGTAGAAATGAAAAGCAGCCCACTGAACCCACAGCTTTTGTTAGAAATCCATCTTTGTTCGGGATTCAGAGGAAGTTCTAAGAAGCTTAGGGAGAAAAAAGGGGGATACAGAGCTAAAGGATTATTTTTTTTTCAGTCCTGTTCAGGTCTTTTCAGAACTCTGATGATCTTTCTGTGTTTTTCTTTCTGTTGAACTTTCTCTGAACAAAGAATGTGAAAGATCCAACTCTTAATATCTTATAAACCCCTTTTTTATTAGAAAAGCAAACAGTAATGCTTGGTCCCATGGTGTATTATCTGCTGGCTGCTTTACTACTGAGCCCTTTGGAAATTACAGCTCCTTTGTCCTTTACTAGCTGCAATGGCTAGAGCTGGAATGTGCCTCTTGTGATGGGATGACAGGTGTAGCATCCTATCTCCCTGTCTTGCTGCTTAAATCAGAATCAAGGACTGTCAAAGCCCTCTGTTGAACCAGTTCTAGGTAGAGCAAAAATATAAACTTGCCTAGAGCAGCCTGTCAGCCGTAGGGGCACATCTAGAGAGAATCTGATTTACCCCATCCTCCATGCCCACTTTATCCTTGATGGACGCATTAGCAAAGGGTCAGGTCCTGGCAAGCTGACTCAAGCAAGCTTTCTTCTTGGACTTGGCAGTGTTGTTATTATTTATTCCTGGTAGCAGATCTGAGTGCTGAATGTGGTTGAAATGCCAGTTCCATGTGGGAATAGCATCCTGCAATCCAGATCAGCATGTTAATCTGGGAGCCTTGTCAGCTCCAGCCCAACTGACTATGATTTGCCAGCCTAAGCTCCAGATAGAATTTCTAGTGGATACACCAAAGGATCTTAACCCTGGCCTTGCCCTCTGTCCTGCTCTGCAGAATTAGTGGCAGATGCCTTTTCCCATGGCAATGATGGCCATTTTCAGGAGGAAAGGCAAAGTGGTGCCTGCCTGTGTGTTGTGCATTAGGGCATAACTTCCGCTGTGAATATGGAGTCTCTTTAGAGCAGATGTCTTTCATCTTGGCTTGCTGTAAGTGCACCGGTATGATCCAGCCAGCTTTCTGTGAGCACCTACTGAAGAAGTCCTCTTAAATACCCAGCCTTCCTCTTTAGATAGGGAGGAGTTTCATCCTGCTGTTTTTTAAGCCGAGTGATCCAGGATTGTCCCAGCCCACCCCAGGCAGTGATATGACAAAGATGTGCTATCCCCTCCCTTGTTTCCCCCATTCCCTGATTGCTTAAGGGGTGCTCTGACATGCATGGGATGTACAGACTCAATGGATAACTTCACAAAGGCTGTTACTCATACCTTTCCACCCTTTAGTGGGGAGTTTCTGACCCTCTGCTTTAAAACTGTATCTTCTTAGTGTGCTTTGTAGAGTTTGCTGCTGGATGTATTCTGCTGCTGAGAAGCTCTAGCATTACTTGGGTGCACCTTGGAGTCCCGTTTCCAATACCAAACATCCAGGAATGTTCTCACAAAGCATGCATGTGGCATTTGGAAAGACAGGCTGCAGCTTCCCCTTGCCAAGTTGGCTTGAATTAATTCATTCATGAGAACACAGGCAAATGAATAAATGAAAGAACAAGCACTGTAGCAGTGGACACTCAAGCAACTCATGTTGTCTGAAAGCTCTGGAGTGTCTGAGGTCTTCAAAGGTTAATGAACTTGCTTCAGGTGTACAAATGAAGGATTTACAGCAGCAAAGGCATTACTGTCATTGGTAGCAATGAATAGCATTGCATTGGTGCTGCACAAAATGAATCCACGGCTGCATTTACTGGGGGAGATTGTCTAAAGGTTTCAGCTGACTGAGGAGCAAATGACAGGTCTCGTATAAAAGAAAACATCACTATTTGATGTTTTTTGCAGTGCCAGACTAATTCTATGGCTCCCATAGCACTTTGTACAGTGACAGACAATTCTCATGCAAGCAGGTGATCAGAGATGCAGTCACGCTGGGGATCTTGCCTCTGGAGAGCAGAGAACTGGGAGCTAAGCTGTCTTTACAGGCTTTCTCAACAGAGCTGTTTCTATTTTCACACAATTGGGTTGCCCCTGCAAATATTAAGTTTTTAGCAAGAAGCAGTTTTTCTGGGAGAAACTTCTCAAGCAAATGATATCTTTGGGGTTTTTTTTTGCTTTGGCTTCTCATTGCAGTGGAATTGTATGCGACATGGTTGCAAAAGGAAGAAAGATCACGGATTTAACTCACCACCAACTTTCTAAAGGCAGGTTTTGTCTAGTTACTTTTCCTCTCTGTTGCCACAGAAATGCATTGCACTCTAAATAATGTGTGAGAAAGCAGCCTGTGTCAAGTTCTACCTGCATGACTGAAAGCAGAAGCTGTCACCGAAGAACAGCGGTGCAGTGAGATGTGGGCTGGGGAGGTGATGCCGCATGAACACCCCCAGTAAAAGTCACTGGGAAAATGAGCAGAGTCATGTGAACCAATTCAGCATGTTCTCTCACTTTGCTGTTCCTTGCTGCAGTTAAGGGGTTGAATCATTAACCCACAGTTTGTTTCTACAGGTTGGCAATGTCAAGTCTCAGTCACCAGTGCGGGGTGGCAAAGGGCTTCCTGCAGAAGCCCTGGAGGCTGAGAGGCAGCTGACACAGGCACCAGAGGCCAGCTAGAAGACAGCCATGACCAAAGGCAAAACATCCTGTGAACTCTGACAGTTCTGACCCTGCTTCAGCATCTGAACTCCAGGTATCTCAGTATTCAGCATTACATTGTCGTTTAAAGGTGTTTGTTCACATATGCTCTTTCTTTCCAAAGTGATGGTAAATTCAAACTGATGGTGCTTAAAGGTCATCTTCCTACCTTCCTGAAAAGGACCCAGCCCTGGGTGTGGGGGTGCTTGCTGACAGAGAACACTTAGCACTGCTGCAACAGCTTTAGTGTGGTTGGAAAAAGGTTCTTGCTTACTCAGTGCACAAGAAAAGCATGACACTGCTCTTTCTGTACTATGCACAGTGCTAAAGGAACAAACCCAAGAGAGCAAATGTTGCTGTAACAGAAGTCTTCCTGCAGGTAGTTCACAGCTCCAGGGCACAGACACAGTAGAATACTCAGAACAATCTACAACAGCCTTGCTAGCCCTGCTGTGCTCAGTCCACCTTAGAGACAGGCTTTGATGTCCTGTTTGTCAGGTCTGCAATGCTCCCTCAGTGTGAGCCTGAAGGTGAGGAAAAGGGAAATGAGCACTGAGCCTGGACGATACTGCGGTAGGAAGAGTTTTTGCTATTGTGTTTTTATGATACAGACTGTACATAGTCTGTCAGTGCTCCAGAAAGGTGCTTGGAACTCAGGGTATGAATTGCATGCTACGGTCTCATTGCTCTCCTGCAGTGTTTCATCTGCTTACAGCACTGGGGTAAGCAGTGTGGTAATCTTAGTCAGCAGTTGAGGAATATTTTCATGTAATGCTAAGAACACTGTCCTATTGCAGTCCTTATCTTTAATTAGGCTGTAATTTCGGTATCACAGTCTTTTATGGCTATCAAGGTGACTTTGATTTCTAAACTGGCAAACCCCACTATGCTGTGCTGGTTTGTTGCCAATAAGCCAACCCATAGCAGTGTGGGTGGGAGTGGTATGGTGATCCTGATAAGCCACATTCAAATCCCTGCTTTGCCAAGTTCCCATTGGGAGCCTGAGTTCCCAACTGGAACCAGCCCTGAGTGCTTCTCAGATAGTAGGACTGTGAGAGGAATATATGTGCTATAAATACACATTACTGCTATTTTTTCCACACTGAAGACAGTGCTTTCATATGTGATTCTATTGCTTTCTTAAGGTAAACAAAGAACAAAGTGAAGGAGGTTTTCTCTCAAGATGAAAGTGTGTGTACGTGTGTAGTGCTCTCCTTGGGTAGTTCAGATCACTGAGCAGTGGGTAAAGAAGTTTTCCATGTCAGTTGCCAGAGATTAAAGGCATGTGATGTGGCAGCGTCAGTTCTATGATGTGTCTTGGCACTTCTCATCCCCCTTCCTTTAGTAACTGCTACTCTCAGAAGTGAACCCCTCATATACAGTTTATAGAGCACTTTTTTACTGTGACTTCTTGTGCTGCTTCTCTCTCTGTTCACTGGTTCTGTTATGTGCATTGATTTGGCATTGGTTTGCCATCAAGTTGTACTGAGGATCATCTTAGGAACATTAAGAGCCCATCTGCTTTGTGAGCATGTGTTAGGTTCCTCTTTGTCCTGTCTGTCATTCAGTTTTCCAGCAGATGTGTTCAAAAGGAATATCACTCCAGATTTCTCTCCATTAATAGGCATTTGGGACTTAATTGTCTTGAACTTCCTTTTTACCTTAGAAGTAGAAAGAACCACCCTGATGGCCATAATCAAAGGTGGATCACAGCTAGTAACACAGGGAGCATCTGGGAGGGAGAATGTAACCTCTTAATTCTTACTGTACATCTAAAAAGCAAAGAAACCAATGATGAAACCATAGAATTGATAGAAAGGGAAAGGATTCATTGCGTTCCTGAACAGATGTGCATTTTCTTGTACCCTTTTGGGTAATACAGGCTCACAGGAGGTCCTCTGTGTATTTGCCCATCTGACATGCTGAGCTTTCATTTAAGCACATCATCTACTACCTGCTGATCTTCTGTGTTCCCTTGTCTGCTCACTGGGCCTTTAAGTCTGTCATGTCACAGCTGCCAGGTAGACTGGCACTTGCTGATGCTGCATGTTTAATCAGTTGAGGCTCAACAATAAGAGCATCAGGCACCAGTAGTTTGAAAGATTTCTTGTCATCATGTACTGCTCTGCTCCGCTCACAAGTGCTGGCAACACTGCAAACTTGGATTGGCAGGTTTTGTCCTGTCTCTGGCTCCTGAAGCCGGATTTCTATGATGTTCAACCAAGCTGTCTAGATACATCTTGTCCCCTTACAGTCTCTCTTGGCTGCTGCATCCTGCTGTGGGTAACAGACTTTTGGAGGCATGTATAGCATAGCCTGCAGCCCCTGCTGTGGCTTTTAAGGTCAGTTTGTGTTCCGAAGACACGGGTTGTGAAAAAGCCTGACTTCAGAGGTATTAAAGGCATTCAGTGCTCTAATGAAGCAATGCTGTGCAGGCGAATTAAGGTCTGCTTGTGCCTAGTAGATGGGTTAAAATGTTCCTGTGATTCATTGTAACTGAATGCCATGAAAGATAAACATATTTCAGGAGCAAATCTTAAGGATCAAATCTGAGTAGGCAGTATTTGCTTAGCGTCCTACTTTCACATCTCCGGTAGGAAGCAAATGGCTTTCAGTTACCTGAGAACCTGAGTATTCCCTGAAATACTAGAATTGCCCTTTTTAAGGCTAATTTCCTGCTTTCTGCTAGGGGGCATGTAGGGGAGCACCAGCTGCAAATCTAAAGCCAGGAGCAGTCTGCTTTCCCTGGGGGTTGCAGTGTTTCAGCAGCAGAGCTTTTTCTATTCCAATCCTTCAGTTACTTTTGTGTTTCTAATTATTTCCCTAAGTGTAATTGACTTGCAAGATATTCTTGGCTTTCAGTATGCATTGAGTGAATTATTGACCCATCACATGAGTCATTGATGTGAAGAGATGTATGAACAAACTGGGTGTAAAATAGCTACTTTGCATTCTTAATAGCAAATGTAAGCCATTAATAACTTTGCTGCTTGCTGCACTCAGAGCCAGCATAGTTTTAGTTTGACATGCATATGGCTGAGTTCATCCTTGGTGTAATTTGAAATTCATTGGGCATGGACTTCATCTCCTTATGCTACTTTAAAATCTCTCTTGTGTTAAGATGTGAGATGCTAATTCCAGAGTTTCTGGCTGACTTGAGATGTTACATTTGAAAAATCAAATCCAATTAAATCAACTTATTACTGAGGTCAGAGATCAGTGTTCAGCACATTCTATTCCTTGCTATTTTGCAGCAAAGAGTAAACGTAGTGAGGGTACTGTATCTCGGTCCATAAACAAACTAATGTGCCCTAATAAGAAGGCTTCTGGTTCCAGGACCTAGGAAACATGGTCAAGGGATAAAGCATTCCCCAGAGTCCAAATATCTGAGCTTAGTTCCTGGCTTTTCACTGGTTTTTGTGTCCTGTGGGACAAGTGTTCTCTCTTTGTGTCTGCTTCCCCATCTACTTGTAAGGTGGAAGTGAAAAATGGTGTTGTGGGGATAAATTCAATGATTCCAAAAGGCTTTGAGACCTTTTGAATGTGTTGCTGTGGACTGGCAACACAGCATCAGCTTGCTATAGTTAGAACAGAGCTAAGGTTTTTAGGAGGCTACAGATGAGAGATGCCCGATTGCTATCTTGGCAGAAACTTGTTTATTATCCAAGAAAAGCTTCTGTGTGCCTAATATGCTAATATTCTCATCAAGGAGTGAAACAGGGGAATACATAGTATGGCTTTGAGATGGACAGATATTAAGCTGATTTGCAGATACTTTTGCAAATCAAAGTCTTAATTTGAGATTTATTATGAGTTCCCACACTGTGCAAGTCTTTGTATTTAAATCACACTATCACCAAGTGCTCAGTGGCTCTTTCTGCCTCTTACTGTTCAGCATTTAATGTGTTTCCTGCAGGAGGTCCCTATGTTCCAGACAAAACCAGACAGAAAAGCAAAGGGAATGTCGAACTCTTAGATACCCTTTACAAATAGCCTGCTGTCTCCTTTCTGGTGCACAGGCATCCTATACCTTTTCCATTCATTTAGGAGCTTAAGTCACGTTGGGTTTTTCTATGGTGCTGATGCACTCCACCAATCTAAGGGAACTTACTGAAGTGCCCATATTAGTAGCTCAGGTGCCTCAGAGTTCCTCTCAGTTGTAAGTAACTGGCATTTCAAGTTGAATTGCTTCCATCCAATTACTCCCCTCAAACTTACCAGTTTCTAGAGCTACACAAAGAGCTATAGGAACCAAGACTTCTATTTTAAGTCTCTGCTTAAGTGCCTTATTTGAACCTGGGACTAAATGACTTCCAAAAGTGAGGTTCTTAGCTCAGATATTGATAAGCTTTTAAAAGTCTTGCATTTCTTGCTCTAGTTCATATAGAACCCAATTATGTAGCAGACTTTGTGATGTTGTTTGAGGTTTCCAGACTCTTGGTCAAGTGGTGTAAACCCTGTGAAGGATTTATTCTGCTTTATGCCTCAATATTAGAAGCAGTGCCTTGCTTTATGCCTCAATATTAGAGAAGCCCAGGCAGCTCATTTTAGACACAAGGGTTAGCGTAGAGAGAACTGGAGGAGCTGTCCTTCATCTCACCTGCCTGCCACCAGGTTGTGTGAGCAGCCTGGGTGATGAGATCAGACATAAGCTCCAATTCTAGATGAAAGGAATTCATCTTCCCTGTTTCATCTCTTGATATATTGGGAGACATTCACAGACAGGGTGGCCATTTGGGTCACAGGTAGCTGCATCCTATGTGACCATCACTTGCATAACTGCTTGCTTTTCTCTTTGTGACAGAAATTCTAGGGCTGTTTGTTACTGTTCCACAGTTACCCTGTGCATGTTTCTCTCTACAGCACAAAAGGGAGTTGAGAGGGTTCATTAAACTATGAGCTGACTTAAATTACTTTGCATTTAGCATGGGATACTGCAGAGAAAGCATGTTCACATGTTAACCCCCTGCACTGTGAAATCAGGAAAGGAATAAAACCAGCTTACCTCTGTGAGCGCTCAGTACGGAGCGTGCAAACTCATCAGCCACTCACAGCCTGAATGTGGTCCAAGTGACCTATTCTGTAGAAAGGACTTGTGAAGGTAGTCGGGTGGGCTGGCTAACAAACCCCTCTGAATCTTAACTAGAAAGCTCCTTTTCCCCAGCATGCAGGGTGAACTACAGTCCTATTTCATGGACAAGAAATGGAGCCTCGGGGTATATAGTGCTAGTATGTGCTGTGGTGTATTGTGCTGCTGAGGGAACAGACAACTGGCATAGCTACGGCTTGGAAAGTAAATATGCATTCCCATGTCAAACTCCCCTGATCCCGCTGTAGCTCAGATACTTAAGGATGCACCTTAGTTACTGAGTGTTAAGGTGAGCTGCTGGTAACAGCTGAAACACAAGAGTAGCTTTCAGGTGCAGGGTGCTCTGAACTCCATGGCCGGAAGCGCTTTCACTATGACCACCCCTGTTGAAGAGCCACCCAGTCCCCCCATCATATCACTGCTTACCAGCTCTAGGGGTGGCTCCACAGAACTTCTGGCTGGAAATATGAATTCCCAGAGCTGCTGTTACATTGCTCCTGAAACTGTGAAGGACAAACCACAGGTCTGGATGGAGCTAGAAACCAGCAAGAAACTCAGTGCAAAGCAACGAGGCATGAGAGCCTCTTTCCACCATCTCTCTTGCCACCTCTCAACTGCCCGTCTCCTTCACACCCAAATACAAATCCATGATTAAGACTTAGTGCCCTTTGCCCTCATCCCTCCCCACTCCACACATGGCTCCCACTAAGTAGGGCTGTATTTCCAAGTCCTCACATGCTCCCCTCAGCTTCATGGTGTCCACTTTTGACCTGAGAGCACAGTTCAAGAGTCTCATGCCCTCTGCTCATCTATCTCTAGCCTAAACCTTTGTGCTGCCCTGTCTTTGCCCAGGAGCCCAAACTGTTCCGGTACACAGAACAGCAAGCTATGTCTAACTAGATGTGTGACTAGGTGTAGCTGGGCATTGATGTATCTGTGTTTAAACTGAGCTGTCAGTTGCTATAATATAATATAAACAGTATAATACTGTTAAGAGAAGCTGATGACCAAAACTCTTGTGCACTTATTAGGATGCTATAACAGAATTTAAGGAAGTAGAGGCAGTTACTAGATAAGCATCTATGGAAAAAAGGCTGTGGTACAGGTAATAGGAGCAATCAGTACAGAAGAAGTATCTGTAAGATTCTGATCATTCAAACCATTGCCATTTTCATAATTTGACTCTATAATGGACATTTTCCCTCTCTTGTGCAGTGAGGTTGCATCATGCAGAAAATAGGTTTAAGTAAGAACTCTTATGGTGTCTGTCATCAAATGCTCTCTGAGAGCATTACTAATAATTCATTAAAGCAGCACTGTCAGCTGGAACACTTTTAATTACCATTTTCTGACAAGTCAACCCTTCAGTGGTGTGCCCTGATTTTTAAATTTATTGCTAACACATATGCATGTCTTTCTTTTTCCCTGCTGCTGTTTATATGGGTTGAGAGAAGTAATTGACTGAGATGAAAGAAGTGAGCAATGCACTACACATTTTCATGCCCAAAATGGAGTATAATTTAAGGTTGGTTACTTATTTTAACAGCTAGCTTGAGAAACTGGGTACTGTAGTTGCTGAACATCTTAGTGTATCTGAATGCAGGGAAGTTCTATGCTCATGGCTGGGAGCCTGAAACACATTGAACTTAAGCTATAGCTATGAAAACCATGAGCTTCTCCTTGTGAATTGCATATATGCATAGCCCTTAAGCAAGTCTAAGCTGATGATGGGCTGGCTGGTCCTAATACAGGGTTAAAACAACAGTCCTGGCAGGTAGCATGCAACAGCTAATACTCTGTAAACGTGTATCAGCTTATCCCACCCTAGTTTGTTTGCATAGCCTTCAAGGCCCTTCCAGCCCTGTGTTGCTGTCAGAAGTACTGCTTGGCAGTCCCAGAGCTGCCATCTTCTGCCTTCTCTATCTGAGGTGACTACAGCAGGAGCACAGGTTTTCTCTGGCAATGTTTTCTTAAGCCTCAGTAGCCTGTTTTATGGGAGCAGAAACTGGAGAAGGGAACTATCAAGAGGGTTGCCCAAAGGAAGGTAAGTCAGTGAGTAAGCAGACTAGAATCCAAACATCCTGCTTCACAAGAAGGGACTCTTTAGGTCCCTCGCTGTAGTCCTTAGGTGACAATTTAGTGGAAGAAAACAGAAGGGATGGTCTATCTGGAAATACCAGGGTTTTTTCAATCAGATATTAAGAAAACAGTACAGCACTAAGCCTCTTACCTTATGTCTTAAGCAGTAACGGTGACTGCAGAAGGGAGGCAGGGGGAAAGCTGCCTGGCTTCGTGTCCCGTACACAATCCAATTTCCACAGCTGTGTGGTCCAACAGCTTCTGTATCAATGGAAGAGAGCCCAAGGCCCTCTTTGGCTTTTATGTGTGGCTGTGTCAGCTCGGACTGGTTGCCAGCTCATCTATATGCAATGGCTCATTAACGTTGTGGCTCAGTTTATATATTGTATGTGAAAGGCAGAGGAATGGCTGCTGGATGGATAAACACCACAGTGGAAGTGTTGAGCTGCCAGAGTAAGGGGAAGTAATGCAATATTACCCAAAGAGGCTGACATTACTCTTGGTTCATCGACATCAGTCTCTTGTCCCATCCCATCAGTACAAGCACAGCAGAGGTGCCTTGGCTACTTTTGGTTCTTTTCTTTGCATGGGCAGTGTGGTTTTGGAAAGAACCAGATGCCTGTTGATACCTCCCATATTCTGCAGAACCTTTTGGTCTCGGATTCATTTGGTATGTGCTATATAGGTATGTGTGCCCCTGCCTAAATTCCTGCTTTGATTTTCCTTCCCAGATTTGAGCTGGAACTCAAGGTCCCTCTGAACTATTTGCAGAGGACTGATTGCAGGAGTTAACTCATTGCTGTACAGTTGCTGTTACTCACCTTGCGAGATGCTGTTGTCTTGGAGCTTGGAGAAATTTGCATCTCCTTTATTTCCTAATCCCTTGGCAGGGTGCCTTTGCACCTGGTGATAAGGGATTGACTGATGTGAGCCTGGAATCTTACCTATAGGCACACAAAAATTAGGTGTCCAAGGAAGTTGGGAACAGGATTTATATGTTAAAGATACAAGGAATTAAGCTCTGTCATGAGCCATCCAATTGTTTTAATAGCTCTGTCATTAATAATAAATTTGGTAATATTCAAGCAGCACTTTTTGTCTCTAGAGCATGTTAATCCATCTGTTACACCTCTCAACATTCTTAAGACAGGTACCTTTAGTGATACCAACACAAACAAGCTTTTGTAGCACCAGGAATTGATGATGGAATTGCTTGGGATACTTTCACCAGGTGCTATTTGATATGGTACACTCTGAAATAAGCTGGTTATTTATATCCTGTGCCTCATACCTGCAGGAACTCTGTCCTTTCCACCTCTTGGCACTTTCTAATGGCACCGATTCATTTTTCTTGCATCACGCAGTGCACTGCAGATTGTTTAACATGATTTTTTTTCCGAAGAAACACTTCTCCTGCAATGAAACTCAATGGGATTTTTCCCCACTGGCTTCAAAGAGCACAGTTGAGCCCTTAAAGGGATTTACTTCTATTAAATATTATCCTCAAAACTGAGAAATTAAAAGCAAATGAGCTTTCTTCCTTTTTCCTCCAAGACATGTCAGAAGGACATTAGGAAAAAGAATAGCTTTCCAAAGCTTTTGGAACCTCCCTGAGTGCATTTCAATTGCAGGTTTTGAGGAAAGAGTGTAATTAACAAATTTATTCAGTCTCAAGCCAGAAAATTCTTTCTATATTTAGCATGAGAAAGCAGAGCAGGAGGAGGGGAGTAAATGACCTAGATTTTCACAAGTGACAAATGACTCCTAGGTGCTCAGGGACCCCTTAAATGCCAGAGATTCCCCCTGCAAAGCAACTTCGCTGTTTGTCACATGGGATGTTCAAAACCATCCAAGATGCTCTCGGAAATGTAGGCTATCATGTTTGTTAAACTGATCGGCAATGTTACCCTAGGTAAAGAAACTAAAACTGCACCCATAACCAAGCAATTAAACCCCATTTTTAGAAGAGACCTTGGTATGCCACCAGCTCTCCTCATTCACAGCATCCCCCCTTTGCCTGGAAATGTATGCTTGGAGAGCATCTCCATAAAGAAGCAATGAGGAAGAGATGTGACTGAGGTAGCATTTTCAAAATGGCTATTGTTAGGTTGGCAACCTTTTGTGGTTCTCAGTGTTCTGTTCTCAACAAGAAAGTCATCTGTCTATGGAAAGCAAGTCCTCATTGAAAAGCCTGTTTGTTTAATAGCAGTTTTCTGTATAAATGTTATAATCCGTTTTGTCAAAGACAAATTTAATGCCTTTATCTTTTGGAATGATTATTGGGGGGGGGGGCTCCCTAAGATATATATTTTAGGTACAGTAGGGAATTGGGTGCTGCTGGTAGTTGTTTATTCATTAACCTCAGTGTAACCAGGCTGGCTGCCTCCCAGTACTTACTTTGTGCTTATTGTGGGGAAGGATTTGAACTGCATTACAGTTCCACACTGAGTGCTGGGGGAGATGATGCTGCCCTTCCACTTAGGTCTCATTTTGTGTAAAACATGAAGCATATTCCAGGTAGTAGTGAAACAGTGAGTACAGCAGCAACAGCAGGCTGAATATTCAGTCTGGCTGTACAGTTGTAATTCCTTCCTAAAACTTTCTTTGCTGTGAGCAAGCCCCTCTAAGTGGGCAAAACTTAATAGCCATGCATGCCAGCATGAAGATAAGCTTGAAGAAAGTGCAAAGCTCCAAGACAGGAAGTATCTGAAATGGAAGAACAGCATAATGGATGCAGTTGATTATATCCCTCATCTCTCCCAGCACCTTCAAGTATTGCTACTAATGAATGTAAAAGGTTCCTAATCACTTCAAGCCTGCCTTATTCTTAGACAGCAGGTAGTTGAAGTCCTTGGCCTCCTCTTCTAACTGTAATGACAGAATTTAAATGCATAGGCTATTTAAATTCAAGAACAAAGCTGGCTGTAGTGCTGGCTTGGCAATACATGTGGAAATCCAGAAAGGTAGAGACTTGCTATTTAACTCCTTGAAGTCAGAGTCAATAGCTGAACAGCAACAGAGGCTTCACATTCTCTGCCCACTTCCTTACAGAGCAAGTGCAAGTGGGATTGGGAGGGGGGAATACAGTACTTGTGATTTCATAGCATGAAAGAGAAACCTGCTGCCCACCAGTGAGTTGGTTTGTGTCTTTTAGACACTCACGCTTAATTTTTCTGTGGGCTTTCAGAAAGCACAGAGAGCTGGTGGCAAGAATTTAGCACCGTGTTTAAGTTGCTATGCTAGAACAGCACAGATGCAACAAGGAGATCCTGAAACTGTGTGGCCTAGAATGCCCCCCAGGCAAGCCTGTGAGGTAGATGATGCCGAGTGGGGAAAGTGGGTTTTATGCAACTTGGTGCACGGAGGAAATCGTGCCACCTTCTCACTGGAAGGAATAAAGCTCATTACTTGTAATTCAGCAGCTTGGCAGAGAGAGTTAGTGCCAGAGAATCCTTACTTCCCCTGAAAATGTAGGGCACGGGTAGACTGCAACAAAGGCACTTCTTTGCTGCTTAGTAGGAGTAAGCAGGGTGTTGAGCACAAGGGTGCTCAGCTGGATCACTGAGCACCTTGGAGTAGTGCGAGGGTGTGTAATCGCCCATGTAGAATACCGTGAGGGATGTGAAGTCATGAGTCACTTCCTTTTTTCCAGTCACTGAATCCTCCTTTTAAAAAGTCAAGCTAAGCACACAGAGAAGATAAGACTTGTATTGATAGAAAGCACCATATTGTTATATTGCCAGTTGTGTCCTTGTCACCTTGCACTCCAAAGCAAAGCAGTCTGCGATGAAAACATGACTGTGTGATGCTACAAACCCAGTGATTGCTCTGTGCAATGGCATTGACGTCTGACTTGAGGATGTTTGAAACCTTGTTTTCCTACTTGAGGCTAGGTAAAGGGAAGTGTAAAGCACTGTATGTATGATGCCCTGAGCCATACAGCTTTCAAGGTCACGTTGGACGCGGCTTGGCACAACCTGGTCTAGTGGAAGGATGAGCTTTAAAGTCCCTTCTGACCCAAGCCAGTCTGTGATTCCATGCAAGTGCTTAAAGTTATTGAACAACCAATGTCAGCTGTTAGTTTGTTCCTAGAATTTCATTTAGCTTTGCCTAGTAGCATCAGGCTTCTGTATTAAAAATTGGCTCATCCCTCTAGTCTATATGATGGTACTTAAAGTGGTAACTAGCTGCAACTGAGTGACAATGTTTATTAGTTGGGCAGAGGAATAAGCACACATCTCAGATACACACTGTGCTCTGCCAAGAGTGTTCTGAGCTGCAGCTGATGAAATGGCATGAAGCCTTATAATGGGATTGCACTTTGTTTCATCCTCTGCTTATTTTCTCTCTCATTTCTTTCCCAATAATCTGCCGGCTCTAAAAAGGTATTTATGGAAGTTTATGTTGTTCTCAAAGGCATGAGATGTTTCTCGAGGCTACCCAAGGTGTTGTCCCTGCACTGACCTTCGAGAGCCCCTGTGGCCATTGGGTCCAGGTTTGCTCTGAGCACAGATGTGTCCAGCCAAAGGCTTTTTCTGGAGCATGTGATACCTTGCTTGCTTGAGCAAAGCAGATAGCTTGATAAGGAGCTGTATGACCAGGCATACCTGCATAAGGACTGTCTCCTGTCTGCTAGAAAGCAGGTAAAGGAAAAGGAATAAACAGATGAGGGTATATTGTACTTGCAGTATACCCTGTTACATAGAATATGAACTCTAGTTCTGGAGAACTGAATATGGCCATCCCCTGTACTGCCGTTCTTTAAGGTCCCTTGCTCAAAACCTCCCAAATATTGCCATGCTTCCAGTGTCCTCTGAGGCAGCACCTTCTGGATGGTGGTTGTGTTCTCCTCGGGATGTAGCTCTAAGGTTATTTTATTGCCCACTCCAGCCTTCCCTTTCATCCAGCTTCAGAAAGTCATTCCATCTGTTGTCTGTGTATCTGACAGCCCTCAGCTGCAGTTTATAGACTGTTAGATTCAGGTTTTGTTTGGTTTATTATCATTACTGTTTTTATGTTGGACAATGTCCCGGTTGCCTAGCAAGGTCAGTAAATAGGTGCTTTGAAAAGAAAGAGTAGAGCATAAGCTTTCTGCGAGGTAGAACACTGTATTCTGCTTCACGTGGAGTATTTTATCTGCAAGTCTCCACGGACTCTATTGGCATTAATAAATGAAATTCACCCTCTCTTTTGGAATGCTGGGGAGGGAGAGACACAGGAAGCAGTCATCAGCCCATTTTTCACAGACAAGAACCAAGACAGAGAAAGGCAAAGCAAGGTAGAAAGCCTGGTCTGATATCCTGCCTCACTGAAGTCAGGCATT